GACATCATCAATCCTTGTATTTATACTATTTCTGATTTCCACCCTCAGCCATTTAGAGAAAACAGGAAGGATATCTAACCAACAGTTCCATAGCCAAGACCCCTTTTGAGTTTTAGAAGCATGGAATATGGAAGAGTTAGAAAAATACCTTTCTTTGAGAACTTTGCTGACAAGTAGCTCAGGTTGAGATGTAATCCTCCATAGCTGCTTGCATATCAGGGCCTCATTGAGCAATTTGATATCCAGAAATCTAAGGCCACCACTATGTTTAGGAATTGTAACTTTAGCCCAACTCTTCCAATGGATTCCTTTGTTCTCAGCTGCACTAGTGTTCCACCAGAATTGAGCACAAAGACTTGATAGAGCAGAACAGATAGCAGCAGACAGTCTAAAACATGAATCGGTGAAGATTGGCAATGCTTGCAGAATAGATTTCAAAAGAACAGCCTTCCCTGCAGAAAATAAAAGTTTTGATTTCCAATTTTGAAGCTTGTTCTAAGTAGATTCAATAAGGTAGGCAAACACTTCCTTCTTTGACTTCCCTATACCAAGGGGTAACCCCAAATATCTAGTGGATCTGTGAGTTTGGATGCCCTGCAGAGTTGCACAGTTATTCTCTTGGAGGTGTGATGGGGTACTCCTGCTGAAAAAGATTGCTGATTTTTGCAAATTCACAGTTTGTCCAGTAAATAATCTGTATCTATTCAACAGGTCCATTAAAACTCCAACTTGGTCAGCACTTGCCCTACAGAAGAAAAGAGAATCATCTGCAAATAATAGGTGTGAGATAGTGGGCCCAGATTGTGATAACTTTAACCCGGTCACCGGTGAGCGACTGGGTGGTGTTTCGTTGTTCGTTCTTCTCGCTCGTTTTGCCTCTGGCGCTAGGGTAATATGGCTGGCGGAATCTTCGACCTCGCTAGTGGTGTTGGTCGGGGTTGGGGAGGCGACTTTTGGTGGGGTGTTTGAGCGGCGTTCCATCGGCTGCGGGCCGCGGTTGTCCGCTGGGGCTTGGATTTGTGGTTTGGGGATGGATCATGTTAGGCGGTTTGGCAGTTTCTGGTTCGTCTCCCTGAAGCGCGATCTGGTCTGGTTAGTGGTCGGCTGTGGGGTTATCGGCGTTCTCTTAATGATTTGCCGGAGGAAGGGTCTGTGTAGTTCTAGTTTGTTTATGTTTTGTTTCTTGTGGTTGCTTGAGTCTGTATTAGCTTAGTGTTTTTGGTCTGGGCTCTTGCCTGTGTGTTTTATGTCCTGTCTTTTTGGTCTGGGCCGTTGGCCCCTGTGCTGATTACCCCGTGGGGGCCGATCCTATTCTCCTGTGGGGAGCGTTTCTAGTTGTTAGTAGTGTGTTGTGTCTGTTTTTATTCTAGCGGGGCTAGTATTTTATGTAGTGTGTGTTGTGTTTTGTGTGTGCCGTTGGGATTCTACCATGGCTAGCGTCGGTATCTAGGCGATTTCCGGATTTGTCCTCCCTGTTTTTTCAGCTGTTGGCTGCGTCGTTCAGCTAGGGGTTGTAACTTTGCACATTTATGCTTTTTATTTATAGAAATCTCTATCGTTCCGAAAAAAAAAAAGAAGTCCAGAATTAGAGGCGTCCACAACAAGTGCTGATAACAATTCTGCCACAATAATGAATAGGTATGGTGAGAGGGGATCTCCCTGCCTAATGCCTCTGGTAGGGGATACAAAACCACTGATGTCACCATTAATTTTAAAAGCAAGTGAGGTGGTTGAGATACAAGCCATTATCAGTTGACAAAATCAAGGTGAAAGTCCATCTGGATCATTATCTTCTTAATGCTCATCCACTCAATTCTATCAAATGCTTTCATAAGGTCTACATTCAAAGCCATAAAGTAGTTCTTGCCAGTAGAATGTCTATTCAGATAGTGGGAGGCTTCTTGGGCTATTATCACATTATCTAGTAACTGTCTGCCCTTAATGAATGTTGACTGAAACCCACTGATAGAACCATCTAAACAGACTTTCAATCTTTGAGCAAGAACTTTAGAAATAACTTTATAAACCACTGTGCATAGACTAATAGGCCTAAACTTGCAAATAGAATCAGGAACAAAACATTTAGGAATCAGAGAGAGAATGGTATGGTTCCAATACTGAAGCATTTGACCAGAATGAAAGAAACTCAGCACAACATCAATGAAATCAGTTTTAATAAGAGTCCAGAAGTGTTGGTAGAAAAGAGCATTCATAACATCTTCTCCTGGGGGTTTCTCAGGGTGGAGACTGAATAGAGCTGGTTTTATTTCTTCTTCCTCCACATGTTGCAAGAGAGTTTGGTTCATATCTTGAGAGATGGATGATGTTATAAGTTGCATAAGGGAGTCACCTCCCCATGATCCCTCAGAAGAGAAAAGGGAGTTGTAGATTTCAGAGATATGATCCTGGACGTCTTGCTTGGTTGTCAGCTCCTCTCCTCTGGAATTGACAAGTCTGGTAATAGAATAAGACAAGTATTCACAAATTCTAGTAAAGTTTAAATATTTTCTTAAAAAATATTTATGTAACCTTTTATTCTATTTTAAATATTTTTGTTTAAAACAAAAAAATTCATTTTTAGATCAAATATTAATAAGCATGAAATTTAAGTGAAGCTTAATTGTTATTATTATATTTTATTTGCATTTTAAAAATTCTCAAATTATATTGGATCAAAGTTGACATAAAATATATTAATAACCCACATTTATTTTATAATTCGGTTCTTAATTTATGTTCTTCGGTTCGTTACGGTATGGGACGGTTCGGTTCTGTTCTCGGTACGGATATTTGTGAAATCTCCTGAACCGTACCAATTATTTTTTCAATTCTGTATGGTTCCAAGAAAGTCAAATGGTCAACAATTATTTTTCGGTTCGGAGTGATTTCGATTCGATTTTCCAAACAGTTCGAGATTCTCCGAGTCACATAGTCTAACCCTAACAAAAACCACCCTCACCCATATGTTATTACCCACATAACTTCCAATACTCCCATAAGTCCCAATCCTTGGTATATGTTACACGATTGTGGCAACCTTAACTGGACTCTGAGTCCGTCTGGGACAACCTCAACACTTCGCACAAGTCAACACAGTTTTTCCTTTATTTATATATATATATATTTATCCCATAAATAATTAAATTCGTTCATTAATAAATCCAAATAATTTTTATCTACATAAATATAGGAAAGAAATATACGGGCTTTAAGGACTGAACTCCACCGCAACAAATACACTCTCATGCACTGGTTTGTCTTGTCGGAGCAATTGAGCATGGGTTGCTAGAATTCCGGCCATTTCTGGTCGGATTTTTTGTATCTTTTCTTGTTTTCTTTCTTCTGCTTATCTCATGATTTTGGGGCTCTTGTTTGAAAGGTGCGAAATTTTGATTTTTTTTTTCCATTATCATTTTCAAGAAAGGGTAATAAAAAAGTCGATCTTGCTAGTTGTTCAAATCATTTTCTTAAATTTTGTGGATTGCAGTTTGATTGAAGAAAAAAGTGCAACAAAAGGCGAAGATATCTGTGTTTATTATGCCCCATGTTTGAATTTTGAACAAAAAGAAAAAAAAAAAAAATTGATTCTTGTGTAGTCTCTAAGGGTTACTAGTTAGCTTTAGTTTGAATGCCTATTTTTAGGCTGCTTCAATTTTTTTGGTAATTATTTGTGAAATTGGAAATGATGGTTCATTTGATGTGAAGTGAAGAAGGAAGAATGTTTAGATGTGAAAGTTTAATTACTAAGTAAGACATATGGATTGTAATTCGTATTTTCTCAGCAGTGCCCCCCCTTTTTTCATTTATTGTTGTCGAGAAAGAGTCGGGTATAGTTTCGCCAAGGGCGGCATCCATCAATTGCACTTATCGAGCCTACGATTTGCAGTCACTTTCTTGTGATTAATTTTGTCAAATTTAGTGCATGATCTGAAAGATTCTAATTGATATGGCTGATGGGTTTCACTAGACTTTTTCTACTCTTGGCATGTGAAAGTGTATTTTTTTAGTAGAATTTCTACACTAGCTCTATAAGGCTACAAAAATAACCGATTCAAGAAGCGAAAGTCTAATGATCAATCTCTTTGTTTTATCCCCGTACCCTTTACTGTCTAAATGTGTGTCTCTGTAATTGGAACTTTAATGGTGACAACTTTATTTAGATTGGCCACATTGTTTAAATTTCTTACATCTGTAGAAAGTGGGCGTTTGTTTCGCTCCTCAGTGTATATGCCCTCGAGAATATATCTTTGCTTAAACATCTTAAAAGGGTATCTTAGCTCCTCTGTGATATATATGTTTATGTTATTGTTCGGAGGATATGTTTCGAAGAACCTTATGTAACTTGATGTTTCCATGATGATGAAGCCATAAATTTTGTCGTCTTCATGACTTGTCGCCTGTCACATTGATAGTTATGGTTTGTCAGGATCGACATGTTGGCTGTTTTCACTTTCGTAAAAGCTAAAAGTTCTCTTTTGACTTGTTTGTGCATTTTGTCAGTTAGTCTACTCTCTTTCATAAGCTGTAGCTGTTCTAAAATTATTGGAATTGCATTATCAGACGCTAGTCGTTAGTCCTCCATGGTTACTCAAAAGAAATTTCAAATGAAGGTCTCACGGATTATTAGCTTCTTCATGGAACTCCTATGATCTATCTCGATTTTGCAAAATATTTTATTTCACACTGATATGAAACATACAATTATTTCCTAAAGATCGACATGTCCCAACTCCACCTGAGATACTTCCTTTCTGTACAGACTTTCTGATCCGGACCCTCGTCTAGCTTATGATCTATTAGTTTTTTTTCTGCTTTACTATGGTTATGATTGATGTATGAACAATAAGTTGGCTACACAACAAAATTCTTGGATAGAATATGATATGCAATATGCTAGGAATGCTTCCGCTTTTTGTGTGTGTGTGTGTGTTTTCTAATTTATATATTGTACATAAAAAAGACTATCTGATTAACCATTGAAGCAATGACAGGAGCTCAACATGGATGTGGAAAATGATATTGCACCTGAAAATGTTGAACTCCGGAGGACTCCTCAGAGGAAGGCGAAGACTCGTAATATCCTAGAGTGCGACATGTCGTCAGATACAGCTGTGCATGAACTCCTGGAATGCCCCGTCTGTATGAATGTTATGTACCCGCCTATTCACCAGGTTATTCCTTTTCTAATTTGATTTTCAACTTCTTGTACAGCAATTGGCTGTTTGCTTTCTATATTTGCATTAGTAACAGTAAAAAAGAAAACCAAATTGAAGATGAATTTAACTGTAGCTAACACATTTTCTGTTACTTTCTTCTCATCTAGTGCCCAAATGGCCACACCTTATGCTCCAAGTGCCAGTCAAAGGTACGCTGCTGCCCGGTTTGCCGCCGCCAGCTAGGGAACATAAGGTGCTTGGCCCTCGAGAGGGTTGCCGAGTCGCTCGAGCTTTCGTGCAAGTACCAAAGCCTCGGCTGTCGAGACATATTCCCCTATCTTGACCGGCCGGGGCACGAGCTGAATTGTCGTTTTCGTCCTTACAACTGCCCGTATGCTGGGTCTGAATGTCATGTGAATGGGGACATCCCGTTTCTAGTGGCGCATTTGCAGGTTGATCACGAGGTGGACATTCACGATGCCTCTACTTTTAACCACAGATATGTCAAGTCCAGACCAGAGAACGTCGAGAATGCCACGTGGATGCTGACTGTAAGTGGCTGTTCTTTTTGTGCTGGTTATATATATTATGTTTTTTTTTTTAAGTTTTATTCTTGTTTTGATTAAGCATTGTTTTTAACAAACAATAACTAGTTTTGATATAACGAAACACTATTGCATAGAATGATTCTCCTCTATGGAATAACCCGGAGACCAAGGGAACCAGACAAAACAAAAAGTAGAAAAAACAAAATACATGGGAGACTACAAACTCCCACAAGATAAATTCGATGCTACATGTGGGGGTAGTGCCTCCACATGCTTTTTCACCCTTGATCTTACACACACCCATGTGGGTGTGTGTGATTGTGTGCAAATCAAGGGTGAAACATGTAGCATCGAACCCTCCCACAATGGGAGACTAACCACAAAAAGAAACAAACATGAGAACCAGCACGGTTGGAAACAAACATGATCATCTTTCTTGGATTAAAGGTAAAAGGAAACAAAACAATGGATGCAAGAAACTAGGGTTTATACTTGAGCTCTATAACGTTGTTATGCTCGAATTGATCTTCTCAATGAGGATTACAAGAATATTCAGAAGTCAAAAGACTCCTAAGAATGTAAACTAATCAAGGAACCTAATCTACGGGATTTACCATATACCTAATTATTACAATCTAGTCTATACCATAATTACGATAACAATCTCCCCACACTCCGACTCCAGCTCAAGCTGGAGCATATAGATCAATTATGCCCGAGTTTGCTACAAATATTTTTCATTCTTACACCATTTACTGTTTTTGTAAAAGCAAATATGTCCCCCAACTCATCCTCGGACTTGACGTATCTTGTAGTGACGAAACCTTCTTCGACCTTATCACGAACGAAGTGGCAATCTATCTTGATGGCATTCATGAAAAACAGGATTCGATGCAATGTGGTTTGCTGCTTGGTTGTCACACCAAAGTGTGAGAGCAAATTTTAAACCAAGTTCCTTTAGTAACTAATGTATCCATACAATTTGACATACTGAATCGACCATCGACCTAATCCATCGACCAATACTCTGCCTCAGCAACTGAATGAGAAACAACATTTTGCTTATTGCTTTTCCATGAAACTAGATTGCATCCCACAAATATGCAATATGCAGAAGTCGATCTTCTATCATCTTTGCAATTTGCGTAGTCAACATCACAATATTCGTGGACTGTCCTAGCTTTTGGATCACTCTGTCACCCCAAAAGACAAAGAACTATAACAAACTCCTCAAACAAAACCAAAATAACGCTGGCACAAGTGCAGCTACGTCCCACTGGACACGTGCATGGTACGTGGAATGTGTCTCATGTGTGTGTGTCTAACATGTCTAACAAGCATAACCCTAAAACACAAAACGAAACTAAAACCTTCCCTCTTCCAACAAAACCACATCTGCTGCTGAGCGCCCAACAATTCACCCACAAACAGGGAACACCACTAGATTCATCAATCATTTGCAGGGGAAACTACGAGATCCATGGAGCACAATCCAACACACTCACCCACTCCAAGGACAAAATCAAGACGTGACCAAACTCTCAAATCTGGAAGCTCGATTCAAAACGTGAAACGGCTTGGCAGAAATTCAAAGAGAGGGGAGTGAACCACAGGTCTTGGCCTAGTTGATTATATTATTTAACTGACTTCACTCATGCTAATATCCATTTCATAATGAAACCGAGTTCAGCATCCTAGTTGAATACTGTCCTAGTTGATTGTCTTTTTTAACTAGCTTTATATTCACAGCACACTCCCCACTACATCTTGTGGCTTCTCCTCATAAACAGAAAGAGAACAAAAAGTAAAATGTCTTACCAAAATTTAAACAGGAAGAAAACAAAAAGTACTAAATCTTGCCAAAACTTGATTTTCACTATTTTCATATCGTTCCCTTTATAAAAGAATAGCTAGTCATTCTGTCTCCCATTTTTAAAAATCTGAGCTATACTCACTGCATCTAATGTTGCCTTTTCTCTTTCAGATCTTCAACTGCTTTGGCTACCAATTCTGCTTGCACTTTGAAGCTTTCAACCTCGGAATGGCCCCGGTTTACATGGCGTTCGTTCGTTTCATGGGGCACGATGATGACGCGCGAAAGTTTCGTTACAGCGTGGAAGTTGGCTCAAACGGCCGGAAGCTGACATGGCAAGGAATCCCCAGGAGCATTCGTGATAGCCATACAGAAGTTCGGGACAACATGGATGGCCTCATAATTCACAGAAACATGGCCCTCTTTTTCTCTGGAGGTAACGGGAGAGAACTCAGGCTGAAAGTGGCGGGACGCATATGGAAAGAACAAGCATGAGAAGACAAAAGGAAAAAAAAAAAAGAGAAAAATATG